ATGGGATAACTGGTATGGATTGGTTGGTAATTCGAGATATTACAATTATACACTATCTGTGAATGGAAAMCCAGAACGACATGGTGCAGACTACAAGAAAGATTATTTGACCGATGTGATTGTAAGTGCAAGATTCCAATCTCTGTTTCTGCTCAGTTCAATAGTTTTCCCCAAAAGTGAAAACACGTGACTTTTGATTATACTAGTAAAACATGTAACTACTTTATTTTTTTATCGTTACCAATGATTGATGACACGACTGTTTTTCTATGTATTTTAGCTAAGAAATGCGATGAGTTTTCTACGACGCGAGGTGGCTCCRTTGCCATTTTTCATGTTTCTATCTACWCCTGCTTGTCATGAYCCTGATACTCCAGCACCACAATACCAAGATTACTACAATGACAAGAAAGCACCGAGAACACCAAGTTTCAACAAACCAGGAGGGAAGGTATTGCATAAGGTTTTTGTAAAGGCCTAATTTGCTGCGCGCGCGCAAAATAGGACGGTACATGCAGATCTCAGTGGTCTCAAATATTTTTACATGTACTTGCTTTTTTTTAAGCTTATTCCTTTGACTACGAATAGCCATAGCACCCTGTCTTACGACTTTTTAACATATAATTACCTATGCAATACCTATATTTCGCTATTTAGTCTAAAAGACGTGTTGAAAATCYCTCGAAGATATTGACTGCTATTATGAAAATCTCTCGAAGATAAAATCCATATCTCCGCGCTCGCATGTAATATCCTCTATATATCAAGCATTTATATAATCAGTTTCTTTTAAGGGTAAACACTGGTTGATACGGAATGCACCCAACCCTATGGAGCAGTCATCAATTGAATACTCTGACGACAAATTCCGAAACAGGTTATCTCCTATTTTAGATGCGCATTCAACAATGGATATGACTATTAAATATTTTTGTTTGATATCAAATGATAGATGGCGCACCCTCCTCTCTGTGGATGACCTTGYCGAACAAGTGATCGCGACACTGAATGAGATAAAGCAGCTGGAAAACACTTACATAATTTACACCTCGGACAATGGCTACCATCTTGGTAAGAGATGACTAGACAGAACAGATTTTACAGTTACCAACAACAACATCACTGCCTGTCTGTTTCTTTTGTATTTCAGGGCAGTTTTCTCTCCCCAAGGACAAGAGGCAATTGTACGAGTTTGATATTCGAGTACCATTCTTGATACGCGGACCAGGAATCCCGAAAAATGAGCGACTGCAGGTATTCTAGACTCCTTTGAGAGATTGTGTGACGAAGGAGACGACAGGTATTCCAGCATTAGTCATTATTTTCACCGGGTTCTCTTGTGGACTGTCATGAATCCAGTATTCTGATTGGCTATTTAAATGTGACATCTTGTCCATGGTCACAGTCAAAAACTAGCGAAAAGTAACATAATCAATGGCATAACATCATACTATTATAATCAATACTTAACAGTACCCTCCCCTCCCCCATCTTGTTTTTAACTTGTATACAAGTATTGTCACTCTTATTCAGAGTCCTATCGTAAGCATCGATATTGCACCAACAATCATCGAGTTAGCCGGGGGGAAGCAACCAGACAGTATGGACGGCCAATCGATTGTACCATTATTAGTAAGTAAGGTGAATATCAATAATTATGGCTGAAAAACCAGTAGCGTCGAAATGACCGAGAGGATGGAATGTTGTCTTTAAAAAGTCATGCGTTTAGAGTTGACATTCAATACTGAATTTGTCGAAGACAATAATTGAAAGCTGATTAAAAATTAGCATTAAGAAACCAGGCAAGGCTTATCAGGGTCAGTACAACGTTATCAGTAATCCGATTTTAGGATCGTGACTCCCGTTGCTCAAAGGCACCTCCCTATCTGCACGCATACAACAGGAATAAATTGACAGAGGCGGTGGTTTTAAAATTCTCCAAGGTTTTCACCGAATATCTCCTGCCCCTTTTATTAGGGAGCGAGGTGTCCTGGTTATAATAGGGTGTCGCCGGGGAACTTGACAAAATCTTAGTGATCTATTCAGTGTCAGATTATCATTTTTGTAATTTAGACTAAACATCAAACATCAGATCCCGTTGAATGGCGCAAGGACTTCTTGATTGAGCACTCAGGTGAAGGACAGAAATCGATCAGTGGTTGTCCTCAGCTGTCATCGGGGGTTTCGGTATGTATCAATCMGSCTTGACAGACATCTTTTCACTGAGTTTTGTGCTCTAAAGAAACCTCGACCAGTCAGAAGATGCTGGTACATCTATTGTGTGCACCCTGAATATAGCACAAACAAGTAAAAACAGGAGAAAATTTTATATTTTTAGTTTGCGTCATGCATTAATCTTTCTCAAWTTTTTTTCTGGTTACTTATGTCCTCATTTAACATGATTGTATTTTCATGTATTTTCCTTTCCCACACGCGTTTTTTATAAATTTTCCACTCTACCATTCATACCTTTCTGCATTGAAATGTGAACGTCCTTCACGTACAACCAGACTTTGTGAGGATAATTAAATGTTTTTTCTGCATAGTGCTGCGAAGTAAATTGTGTATGCGAAGACAGCTGGAACAACACTTACACTTGTTTGCGAACACTGGACAGCTCTCAAGATCTAATGTTTTGTGAATTCAAAGATAAAGAGGTACAACGGCAATGGGAAATTCAGGGAGGGGTGCTCAATAGCTAGTGCGCAAACCAATTAGGTAACTTAAGGAGGCCAAGGCACATCAGAAAATGTTTGTCGGATTTTCTCGCGAACTTCGCCATCTTTGATTTTGAACCAATCAAAAAGCAATTGTCAACAAGAGATCATTTTTGAAACAGAAGAAGCGACCGCAAAGGCTCCATCTAGCGAATGCACGTGGGGCTACATTTTTAAGATAGCTCAATCAGTGTTAATAAGATTTTCATATTGCAGCTTGAATACATCATTTAAATTTTATCATCTTTTCAGTCATTTGTCGAGTTCTACGACCTACAACACGATCCACATCAACTTGTTAACATCGCTGAGACGGTCGATCCTAAGGTTTTGGCCCCMCAACGCCAGAGACTACAAGAATTGGCCCGCTGTAGAGGGGAGTCTTGTAGGCAGAAATTTGAAGATAGTCGTGTGATCATATGATATAGTATATTTTATAATAATTTTATAATACTTTATTTTGCATTAAACCTTTTACACTGTAATGTTGATACTTGTACTTCAACCGATGTCGATGAATGGGAACAGTCTTCTTTCGATATTTTGGTTGCCTTTACCGCGCCCAAATCAATTGAAGTCGAGCATTAGGTAAACAAAAAAAAGTCTTATGAACGAAAACAAAGAGAAAAAAAAAGGAAAAAAATTAGTAAAATGTACATACGGAAAAAATATTCTTAAGAAAAAGAAAATAGAAAAAAAGAACACGATAGAAAAAAAAAAGGAAAAGAAAGAAAAAAGAAGAAGAAGAAGAACTCGACTCTACTGGGACTCGAAACCAGGTCAAAGAAATCGAAAAATATTGGGACGATTCCCCCGAGACATTCTGTGAAGCTGAGGCGTCGAATCGATTTACATTCCGGTTAGAGATTTCGGCTCTTCCATGCTATCCCGATAATTGGTCCTAACTTCGCGCTAACTAAAAAGCCAGTGAGGGAGAAGCTATCCGGCCCCTAGACACTGATGGATAACCCCTTGCACTAACCAGGCAACTATCGAAAATATAATGTCAAATTGAGGTAGTCTATTCGGTGAAAGTGTCAAGTGGTCTATTATTATGTAAATGAGCGTGGTGCAGTGGCGCTCCTTCTTAAGGCGTTGAGTTCTAATCCGATGGTGATTTCGTGGTAGCGAGTTCGAATCCCGACATGATACATTTAAACAATTCGGCCYAATTTTTGTATTGCTACTTTGTTATTGTTCATTTTTAAAATCCTTTTTGTGTTATTTTCATTATTATTAATTGTATAATTGTATAAGCGTTAGGGGTTATAAGAGGTCTTTTTTTTTCTTTTGCAAATCAGTAACAATTTAACTAATATTGGGATTCCTCTATCCTAATTTGCATAGTTGATGGTAATATTTTTGATGATTGGTTGGAAGGTCCCTGTGGGTGGGAGGTCGAGATCGTATTTCACATCCCCAATATGGCGGACGTGGGATTGGACGTCGTTSAAGTTTCGGTTTTCTTACGTGGACCATCAGTCAGCACAGGACTGATTCAGCTCAACTCAAGCGAACTAAAGACTGATCTTTTCAATTTCGTCTATGTTGGCGCTAATTCGTACCGGCTTTGATCTACTCTTAGAACGTTTTCGAAGGCGTTGGGGACCATTTTTGTGGCGAGCACTGCTCATTTTGGTCGAACGAGCAGTTTTTRGAAGTTTAACTTTGTTAGGGATCATAATGGAGGACGATGACGTCTTCACAGATCCTCTAAGYKCTCAAAATGGAAATCATGATTACCTTCCTCGTGAACTCGAAATGAGAGCGCGAGGGCTTAGTGGAATGGGAATGCGTTCGCTCTCTTTACCAGATGTATCTCATGAAAAAGGAGCTGAAAGYAAATCTAAACATGGTCAACAATCCATTATGAATCCCGTGAAGGAGTTTATTGTTAACTTTGTCAATAGGAAGGCTAAAAAACGTGAGGCGGAAGACAAAAGTAAAAGTAGCGCTGGACGAGGGCACGCGTTTATTCCTTTCCAACTACGAAACCCAACCTGGTGTGACTTATGTGGCGAGTTCATTTGGGGCTTGTATAAACAGTGTGTTCGTTGCAAAAGTGAGTACCGCATGTTCTTTTATGTCCCCATGTCTTCAGACCTTTTTTTTAGAGTAGAGGAATGTGTTTAACTAGCACTGGATTGTAATGAATTGGATRATGTTGTGCGGTTCCGTTTTGTTTATAAAGTCAACAAGTTGTAAGCTTAGTGAATGTGTGATGGCATTCAAACGGAACCAATCTTTACCTCTCATCTTTCTTTGACAAGCACGTACATTTTGATTAATGTGTTGTTTTATTACAGTATTATTTGCATATATTTTASAAATTTATAGTCTGCCCAATATTTCTGGCAGAAAATTCACATTCCTGGGCATGCAGCTATATCGAAAGTGCAATGAACTATAGATAAACTTAAGTTATAATTAAGCTGATTGTTGATTAATTTAGCTGAATTTATGCAAAAATAAATTCAGTACAAAGCTTCTAAAGTAACGCCTTGATGTAGTGATACTGCCTGGAACAATAATTTTATAACTATAGTTTTGACAGTTTTTGTTGATACAGTGCATCAAGAGATGACTCTATTTATGTCATCACGGCTCAGGGACGACGATTTGAGCTTTCTATATGAAAGAAAAAGAATGATACAAAAATGGCCGTTTGCTTCTCTTATCTGCTGATCAGTGTTTGAGGGTTTTAGAGGGGAACCAATATGATACTTTTTTTCAAAGTATGTTTTACAATCAATGTCTAGATTTACTCAGACCTACAAAATTACTATGAATTGTGGTCATCATATCTGYCATATAGTACATAAAGAGATACATTTAGCTCTTTTTGCCATTGTATTCCTTAAATATTTCAATTCTATACATCAGAAAAGATATTTTTCCGTCAAATCATAGTCATGGATGAATGTGAAGGTGGGTTAGTAGATAAATGAATAGAGTCAAGACCCCATTGACTGTTTGATTACCCACAGTAACTTGTGGTCATGACATTCTCAGCTTTCTAAGACAAACATTTTGAAATAGTCTAATACCCACCTAAGTTGACTTGAGAATGGAAAACAGCTGATGGGAGTTGTTCATAGGAGTATAACAAAAACTAAAAAAAATTTAATTTAAGTTTTAATTTATAGTTTTTTTTTGTATATTGTAAAAAATGTGCACCACATCAATAAACCATGTCAATTCAACATGGTTTATTCATTAAATGTTGGTCAAGTCTGAGGTTATAGACTATTGATAATTATTTTGCTTATATTATTTTGAMTTACTTTATTTACAAGTTATATTAATAATTTGATCTTTATTTGAAGGAGATATAATGGTCCTAAAGTCATGAGCAACAGACATTTTTATAGTAATTACTGTCTCCACCAAACAGTTAACCACACACAGTCAATTTACCACAAATTATTCAATCCTGTTAAATATTCTAAAATCAGAATTTGTACAAGTTCACAAAGGACATATACAGTACTGATTTATTTATCATTCTATTGTTAAAATTCCTTCATTTGTGGTAAATTTTCTGGCTCTATGACACTGTTAAAAGAATATCAGGTTTATATACAAATTGTTATTTCTTTGTTTCATTCATCTATTTATTCACTCAGACATCATTTTAGCTACAAGCATAATCACWAATTTTCATTGAAATTTCCATTTATTAATAAGAAACAACTATAAGTCAAAGTGTAGAAATGCATGCTTGTTGTATATTATAATTATAGTATTTTGAGTACATGCTCTTATTTCCCTAAAAAAGCAAGGAAATTAATCGCATGGCATGAAATTGTGATAAATAATGTACATATCTTAGCTTTTAAACAGGATTCTACAGCACACTTTGTGGTTATCAATATCACATGTTATTGTTAATATATTTTAAATATTCATTTCATTGATGACGATTTGTCTTGATATTATTCTCTTTCGATATTATGGTATTTCTACTGCATGGCAATACCAGTATAACAATGTCAACCAGGTTTCAAGTATGTCTGTGTAATATAACATGTTTTCAAGTGGCCGTTTATTTGCATAAAAGTCAGTCACCAATAAAAATAGTTGATATTTTTGCATATCTTTTTACTTCCTGTGAGTCAGAAAGTTGCTTATAATTACCAAATTTGTTGGAGCTTAAAGGTTGCAAAGAGCTAGCTGTGTTCAATAACAGCATTAGTGATTTTAAAGCTATTTCTCATAAAAAGCTCTATAGTGAAGCTGATTCTGATTTAAATTTAAAATGTGTGTCTATTGTGATGTCTCTTCTCATTAATCTAAAAATTGTATACTTGCATTTGATTGAGAGCTTGATATAATCTACTTTCAGATTGTAAATATACATGTCACTGGAGATGTCGTGAAGAAATAGACTTAGATTGTATTGGTCATGAGGATTGGCGACAAAATATAGCAAGAAATATGTCCATTGATGAAATAGCTATGAAAACTCTACATCTACTTGATCAGGTGAGCTGCAAACTGTCTATGAGAGAGAAAGAGCAATTCTTGTTTTTGTTAGACTTGCAATTATATTATAAATGATATAATTCAAAATGCTTGAAAATTACCTAAAATTTGTATGATATAGTGGTGTTCTAGGTATTTCAATTAGAAGATCCTTACTATTTCCAAAGGTTTATTCCTTTGCTTTGAATTTAAAATGTGTGAATATTTCATTTTGCATATTCTATGTCTGCCATGCTGTGCAKAATAGACATAATGAAGGTTGTTTTCAACCATGTGTAGATTATTGGTTCTAGAATGTGGTAATTTATCTTATGTGTTATCRTATGGGTTATGGTCATAATTGCACATTCCCTATTTCATTGTTTTATTGTCTTCCCACTTTATCTTAATGTAAGGTTTTGATCTTTTGTTCTGCTATTTACCTTCTAGAACACCAAAAGAACAAATAATCATTGATCACTAGTTCTATTTGATTTGTTTTTTAGGATGATCCTAAAAGAAATGAACCATATACAATGATCTCCACAAATATATCATCTGATAGTCTGAGAAGGAAAATTGAAACTTTCAACACCCAAACCACAGGACTTATTATGACAATGGTATGAACAAAAGCTATGACTGTCTTATCCAACTGACTGTTCTAACTTGTTTCATTTTGCTATTTCCTTTCTTCCTTTTGAATCCTGATTTTCCCATGAAATTGAAACAKTGGGGTCACTAGTAATCAATCATTAATTTTCAAGTGAAGTGAAAATCTTGTGACATAATAATTGTTAGATAAATACAAGTTGTAATTTTGATTTTATTTTGGGGGGATAATGTCTCTCCAARGTAATGACTGTGATATACAGTACAAAAAAAATATTGAAGGGTGTTTGATTTGAGAATTGAAAATTATAAGAAATGTCTAATCTAAACAAATGCTAGCTTGTAATACCTTTGAGGAAAAAAACAACAACAATATTTACATTTGTATTCACAATAAATTGGGCAAAATAATTATTCTGTTTTTGAGTGCTGACAGTATTTAGTTATGGCAATTAATTATTGTATAAATGAAATCAGAACAGTAGTGAATCAAGATTTTCTAGTAATTAAATAAAAAATAGAAAATAATTTTTTAAACAAATGATGATTAAAATACATCCATGAACCTTGTTTGTAAGATAAAGATTTTTTCTGGATATGGATGTGCTATAAAACARTAATGCAACTTATACAATTATAGTATATGGAAACACAATTAATAATGATTTGTAATATTTGTAGGCAGTCTTGTTGTTCAATGATTATATTGCAAAGTTTTGTTTTTATTTCTGCAAGTTAAGTTTGTTTAGTTTTCTACTTCCTCAATAAAATAACATTTGTACATCTCAAATGTCATTTGTTGAAATGTTTATTCTTATTAAGTAAACCTGTTTTTGTTGAATACTCTTTTAGCATGATTATGTTTATAATAACACAAGATAAAGAACTATAATAATTGTTATCATTAAAATGAAATGTTGTTTTTATAACTATCATAAGGTTGTCTCAATATTGTTATTATTTTTGTTAATGTTATTATTAYTATCATTAGATACTTTGATATAATATCATTAAATACATGGTAATACATTGCTCATGCTATTTTGGTTGTTATAGAAAGACGACTCAGTGTTTCAAGGCTTTATTCGTGTACATATGAATCTTCTTCGTCCAATTAATATTGTTGCTGGTCAGAGACCTTTATCGATATTTGAAATTGTTGGCAATTCTGTGGATAGTAAGGTATGATATGATTTGCGTTTTAATTTCTGGTCCAGGCTGTATTAGCCCACTGTTTATCAGTTTAAAGCCTTCCATATATCAATATTGCCTGTATGAAAATATGTTTTTAGAAAAGCCAGAGAACTTCGTTCTTCCTACCCCTTGGTACTGTCAAAGCTTTGCACGTTACTAGTGAAACCACAGTACAAGAGGTGAGGATTRCTTTTGTTTGTAAGCATTTAATTTTGTATTCATTCATTGACAAAACATTGTACAAATTGAACTATCTTGTTTCCATAAATCTGTTTGTGTTGAAATCCATTGGTGATCATACATGCTGACATACATTGYATTTTTAGAATTGTAAGCTAAAAACATTATTTTAAAAGCTGTTTAAAGTCAAGCATAAACTAACCAATTTATATATTTAGGTTATTGAGGCTCTTTTAAAGAAGTTTAAGATTGCRGACAACCCTAGGAAATTTGCTCTTTTTGAGTGTTACCAAGAACAAGATG